CCTGTAGATTTTGCCACTGTTTACTTGACTGGTTGAGGTACTCAGGACCATCTTTCCATCTTGTGTTTCTTAAGAAGTCCTCAATTTTCTGACCTCTCGAAGCTTCGTCGGCAGGATTGTTGCTTGTTCTAACGTACATCCACTGAGATGGCTTTGAAAGGTTAAGGATAACAGCAACTCTGTTTGCCACGAATATCTTAAATCTTCTTGAGGTGTTCTGTATATACTTCAGAACAGTTTGACTCTCAGTCCAGTAATAAACGTCACTAATATCACCCAATTCGGCCAGGACAGTTTCTGTCAAACGTGCAGCCATGACTGCTGCCGTCAACTCTAATCTTGGGATAGATGTGTACTTTATTGATGCAACTCTACTTCTTCCCATCACCAGTGACGTTTGGACATGGCCATCACTGTCTTCTTGTCTGAGGTAAGCTGCCATACCATAACCTTTGTCACTAGCATCCGCAAACACGTGTAATTGACGACTGATAATAACTGGTGAAATGCCTGACTTGTAGCACCTGGAAACACTCCATTCTTTTAGCTTTAGTAACTCTTGCAGCCATTGCTTCCATCGCTGTAACAATACACCATCCACAGGTTCATCCCATTCCAGTCCTTTACGGCAAACCTCTTGAAGCAGAATCTTGGCTGGAAGAACAAATGGGGCCACTAAGCCAAGCGGGTCAAATACAGAGCTCACAATAGACAGCAATCCCCTTCAAGTAAAACTCTTTTCTGCAGGTGTAATGTTAAAGCTAAAGGTGTCGTTTTCTGGTAACCATTGTACGCCGAGTGCTCTTTCCATTGGTAAGTCATCTTTGCTTAAATCTAATGACTTAACTTCCTTTGCACGTTCTTCAAGTGGTACGGTACTTAACACGTCCTTGTTGTTGCTCATCCATTTGGTTAAGCGGAAGCCACCATCTCTGCAAATATTTGTCAGGTCATGGAAAAGAGTAACTGCTTTCTCGTAATCTGCTACCGATGACAAGCAATCATCTACATAAAAGTTATGTTTTATCGCATTTACAGTTTCTAGACCATACTTGTGGCCGTTGTCTGTCGCTGTACTTAACAAAGCTTTATTTGAGCAAGCTGGTGACGAAGTTGCCCCAAATAAATGCCTTGTCATACGGTATGTCTTCACCTCCTGACCTTGAACCGGTCTCCAATAGAACTGCAGCGAGTCCCTATCTTCCTCTGCAACAACAACCTGTAGGAACATGCCTTCTATATCTGCCATTACGGCTATGTTCTCTTCTCTGAACCTCATGAGGACGCCGATTAAACTGTTGGTTAAGTCCGGCCCCTGTAAAAGAACATCGTTCAATGAGACACCACCAAATTTTGCAGCACAGTCGTATACAATTCTGACCTTTCCTGGTTTCTTGTCACTACACACCGGATGGTGAGGTAAATACCAAACTCGTTTTATAGCAGGTGGTACAGCTTCTGCAACTTCTTCTATGTAACCCTTCTTTTGCATCTCGGACATGTTTGCCGCATACTTATCTCTTAAATCTGGATTACTCTCTAATCTTCTTTCGAGAGAATTAAATCTCTTTTTTGCCATATACCTATTGTCGGGCAAGATAGTGTTTTGGTCCCTCCAAGGTAACGGTAGAACATAATGACCATCTTGAAAGTTGATTGTGTCATCAACTAAACGCATAATCTTCAACCGACATTCCAATTTTCTCGGCCGAAGATCTTTCTGGGAAATCAATGTTCACAGAATCCTTTAACATATTGTTTAGGTTTTCATATTCTTGAATAGCTGTAAGTTCAGCCCTATTTACCACCGTAGCAGCTGACATCTCGTGTCTCACAATGTTCCATGGAATCCACCCAAGCGCCGTTCTTGCTACATACGGAGAGCCAGGTGGACCAGTGATTACCTCTAGAGGAGTATATGCTTCAGCTACAGCGTTGCCTAATATCAGTCCAATTTCAGCATCTATCACAGGTAGCTTTACTCGACCCTTCAGGTGACACCACTGATCTATATCTTCTTGGGTTGGAATATGGGAGTGATTAACAGGCATCTTGTCTTTTGTATATACATTTGAAAGATGAATTTGTTTTCCTCCATGTAAATCACTTACTAACATTTCGGTGATAACATGAGTGTTCAGAACTTGGATGGACCCCATTGTATCCAAAGTAATCTTAACTTTACGTCCACCAATTCCTAGTTCCTTTC